AGTGGAATGTTAATATCCCTAAAGCCAAGCTGGGCAGGAATGACCTTTCCCATGCCAAGACCCTGAGGGGTCTCTGCAGGCCAGGCCAGCCCAGTCTGGCTGCAGCAAGGGCATGGCTGTGACAGCAGGGCAGCTGGTGGCCCTTGGGGCACTGGAGGAGCTTTGCTCTTGGACCTCTTACACAGCAAACCTTTCTTCAGACTTGGGAGCTTTCTCTTATCCTAAAAGAAATCTCTCTCTTCAAAAGGCTTGAGGCAGCGTAGGAAAAGGATTTCTTTTAAGATGTAATGTTTTTCTTGGAAAAGGAAATGAAGTTACAGAATTGGGGCCAGGTTAGAACCCTGATGTTGTAGAGTGGTGTTAATGGATTAGCACAGTGACAATGGATAAAAGGTTTGTCCTTCACAAGATGGATGTAGGATGACAGTATCTCCTTGTTTTATGGTTACATAGCTGACCTTTGCATGAAATTTCCTTTTCAGTGTGTGCATACTTTGCAATCAATGGCATAAGCATATTGTGTTTCCTTGTCTGTACTTTCCCCTTTTTTAAAGAGCAGTCTCTGGTGATTAACAACCTTGCTATTGTTTCATGTAATCAAACTGGAAGACTGAATATGCAGGCAGGCACATCTCTCCCTGTCGCTGATGTGCTGTGCACCATGGCTTGGACTGCATGACTGGACCTGTGGGCCTGGGCAGCAGAGGGGACCACTGGCAGAAGGACAGTAGGTAGTGAATTGTGCCAGTAACCATGTCAGGTGCCAGGCAACCAGCTGAAACCTGGGTAGAGCCAGAAGAACTGGTAAATATTTTGTTGTCCTGAACACAGGAGCTGCTGTGTGCTCAGCAAGGGCAGAGGCCAGGCTGGGGCCACAGCCCTGGGTGAAGCAGGGTGCTGCCTGGGTGGCCTCTGCAGTCACAGCCTGGCTGCAACTGGAGGCTGAGGCTGCAGGAGCAGAGTCACCCTCCTACTGGGTCTAGTGTTGACTTGCATGTCTGGTGGGAACACAGGGCTTGAGGTCTGCAGGGGTCCTGAGGAAGGGCTGCGTGTCTGCGCTTAAGAGTCACCTCAAGATGTGTCCCCTGGTCCTTTCAATGGGTCCTCAACACTGGTGCTGCAGGTGGAGAGAACAACTCCTTTAAGGGAAGGTTGCCTTCATGGCCAGGGCCACCAGGCAGCACCACTGGCAGGGGAGCCAGCTGTTGGTTTCCTTCCCTCTTTGCACTTATTTTCTGGCTGTAACCCTGTTCCTGGAGAAAAACTCACTTGCTGAGTACAGCTGCTTTTGCTGCTGAATCATCCCCCAGTTTCCAGATGTGGGATGATAGATTTTCTTCAGCAAACAAAAACCTGGTTTGTCCTGCATCGTGTGGGTAGGTGCCTTGGGAAGAGAGAGCAAAGGTGCCCCTTGGGACTGTCCCAGGAAGAGTGGGAATTGGCTCTGAGAGACAGTCTGCCCAAAGCCCCGGTTCTGAGCTACAGGAATAGCCTGTGTTCTGATCACCTCCAAGGAAGGCATCTGCTCAAGTGGCCTAACGGTGGTGTACTGTATGACACAGTCTTTTCTGAGTTTTTTTAGTATGGGTGATGGGGACATTGGGCTGGTTTTGGGGCGCCCAGGGTGGCAAGGGGTGCCGTGGTGGGCAGTGTGCATGCCCGCCTGGCCCCGCTCCTGCCAGGGAGCTTCACTGCCACCTCCCCAGCCTCCTGCTTCTGCTGGAGCTCTCAGGGAAATCCCCCTGGAAGCACCCAGGGGCAGCCTCTGGATCTCTGTCCTCCGTGTTAATACCAACAACTGGAGCCTGTGCTGGGGGTGGTGGAGCAGGGCCTGCCTGGCAGCTCAGCCCTTCTGCTCGGCCGCTGCGTTGCTGTCAGCATTGCCTTGGGAAACTTGCCTTCCCTGTTTGCTATTTCTGGAGGAAGCATGTGATTGCCTCAGCTCCCCGTGCTCTGCTCCTCCTGGAGCAGGGCTCCCAGCTCTGCTCCCAGCAGAGGAAGGTTGAGCACAGCCCTGGCTGTGCTCCACAGCCCCTGCCAGCCTTCCTCCCTCTCCCAGTGGGCACTGCCATGCTTGCTCCAGCTGGTGATGCTGATGGAGCCCTGGTTTCTGTTGGGGCTCTGGGCTGAGGAAAGGCCATTGTCAAACATTTTACTCTGTTGAGCTACAGAACACAACCTGCCTGAAGGCTGATCTTACAGCTGCAGTTTTCTCTTTAAATTGTCCTCAAACTGTGGTCAGAACCTTCAGCCATTGTTTTTTCCCCTCTTTATTGTTCCTACTGTAACATCACTTTAACCTACAGCAGCCAAGCTGCAGTAGTGATTGGGACAGGAGGAAAAGACTGGTGTTTGAAGACAGGAGAGCCTTGGGATGAAGCCCCAGTGCTTGCTCAGCTTGGCTGTGCTGTGGCAGAGCTGCTTGCATTGCCTCCTCCTCTTCCTCCTCCTCCTCCTCCTGCCTTTCAGGTCCTTGCTAAAGTAATGACATTTCTTTTCCTCTCTTCCTTTTTGCCTGACTCACTCGCTCAGGCTGCAAGCACTTGTGAGCAAGGGTGGCTTCCTCCTCCTTGTCTGAGTAGCGGGGACCAGATGTTGCTGTAATGCCAACAGGATGTGCAGGGAATTGTCTGCTTTGCTCTGAGCTTATATCCTTCATGTGTGTCTTTCAGGAGAGCGTGGAGGGGAGGAATGCCCATCTTCCTTGTGTTTAAAAGCCCCTTTAGTGTCTGTTTTTACCTAGCCCACCCCATTTGCATTCTCTCTTTTTATGAACCATCCTAATTGTTATTTTAATACAAGTCCAAAGCTGTGCCAACCTGATGATTTGAATGCAGAAGGCAGTGGTGGTCTCCAGGGACCATGCTGCTGGGAGAGGTCAAGGCAGGGTCCTCCCAACAGCTGTCACCATCCAAGGGGACATCAGGCATGTCAGCAGTCCCTTCCCTGGTGGAGCCAGGGTCTTCATAAGACTTTCTTCTTGTGTTTTCCAGGTCTACAACTCGAACAAGGACAACCAAAGTGAAGGCAGTAAGTATTTCTTTTCAGGCCAGATCCTTGAGGAGGTGGCTCTGTTGTGTGGTGTGCAGGGTCAGCAGGAGGGGCTGAGCTGCTGGCAGTGGGGATACTGGGCTGGGCTCCCCTAGGCCAGGGGTTGGGGGTGACAGGGCTTGGACTGGGGACTGCAGGGTGACCCAGGGGAGGAGCTGCCCTGCATGGAACTGAAGCAGAAACTTGGTGGTGGGACCTGGGGCCATGGAGCAGGGTGCTGAGCCGCTCCTGTGGCACTCTGGGACGTGTTCCCTCCTGCCTGCCCCCCACCCAGGTGTCCCCAGGTGGCAGCAGTGGTGCAGGGGGTGCTGCTGTGCCTCGGGACCTGCTCCTTTCACTTACCAGGGCCAACGGGCACAGGTGGCATTTTGGACCAAACAGTTCTCCTTGTTGAACCAGAATGTGGAGGATGAACGTGCCTTTTCCAAAGGGGAAGTGGGGCAAAAATACAAAGAGCAGGGAGGTCCTACTTGATTAGGATTATCAGTAAGATCCCCTAAAAAAACCAGCTGTTTTTATTGTAGTTTGGGCAACATCTTGAGTCAAAAAAGCATTTGTTTTTCTTCTTGGAGGAGCAGTTGAATCTGGTCCAGAATCTTAAGGCTTGTGTCTCAAAACCCTTAATTGAGCCATTTACCAGTAGGTTTGAAAGGCCATAATTGCCATACTCAAAGCTCTGATCCCTTCCCTCCTTCCCCCAAAGTTGTCAGTCACATGGAAGCCCAGCCCAGGTTGATGGTTGCTACACAGTTCATCTTTCTGCTGCCTCAGATGGCATTTTCATCTTGAGTAAAAGCATTTTTCTCATAATAATAGGTATAATTTGCAGATAATTCTCCTCGCACCCATTTTCAGCCCTTGCACAGAACAGTCCCTTCCTCCTCTGCTCTCTCTGATGTGGCTTCTCCCATCCCTGTTGGTCCTCCATGTTGTCAGCTACCATCCCTCTCATCCTACACGTGTTCCTCTTGGCTTTGTGAGACCTGGATGGTCCTTGCAGAGTTAAATTCTGTGCCTCATGGTTGGGAAGGACAGTATGGCTAATGCCCCAGCTGGGTATCAAGTCTGCTTCATCTTTTCTCCATTTTACAAAGGGGTGAAATGAGTTTTTTGAGGCAAAGACAGCAGGACTCTCTCAACTCTGTCCCAGCCTGGTCATGTGGTGTCATTGCTCTGTGTTCCCTGTGTCCCTGCCAGGACCCTCTTTGGTGCTTTGGCTCAAGGAATGTGTAAAAATAATAATTTTCTGAACTTTGTTGAGGAGTAATGGAAAAGCAGAGAAAACATTAAGGATGGGGGTGGAAGGAAGGGGTTGGTGAAGCAATTGATGAAGTAATTACTGCTTCTGAAAGAAGCACTTGTCAAACTGTGACCTTCCCATCTTACGTGCTATCAGCCAGAAATCCTCCTGGGGCTGTGCCTGAGGCTGGAGTCATGGAGCAGCCTCCTGCCGAGGTGGGGGGAGCTCCAGTGAGTGTGTCTGTGACTTGCCCAGGGTTATTTGTGTTGTCTAATCCCAACCCTCAGCTGCCAAGCCTGTGGCAGATCCCAATCCGGGGCTCCTCAATGCTGCTGTGGGGTGTCCTGGGGGCAGTGGGGGTGATGGGGCTGTGCTGCAGCTCTGCTCTGCCGGGCTGGCTGGTCCCCCTGAGCCCAGGGCTGGTTGTGCCCAGCCTTGTGGGGGGCAGAGGTGTGGGCAGGACGGGGCTGCCTGCTGTACCTGCTGCTACCAAATAAATAGGTTGTTTTCCTGGGCTTAGTCTGTGCCAGGTATGCATGTCTGCAGAGAGCTGCTGGCCTCACCAGCTACACTGCACACTGGTTGAGGGGCTGGGTCTTTGCCACGCAGCCCTTGATACAGGAGCTTCCTATAAGGGCTGGAAATGAGTGCAGTGATTGATGGAGCCCGGATGCAATTCCTGACCCTGCAAGGCTCTGTGTCTCTGCTTCCTGCCCCTGCTTGGGTCAGCCTCAGCCTGCAGTGCTGCAGGGAGCTCTGCTTTTTGGTCACTAGCTGATTTTACGGGGCTTTCGGGTTTTACATCCTGCTGTGTGGCCAGATGGCCATCAATCCACAGGGTGATTGATCTTAATCTTCTTTGGGAGCTGGGAGGAAGCAGTGCTGAGCAGTGGGGACAAGCAAGTGTCAGGGGTCTGCTAGAGCCAGATGAGTTGAGAGGCACAGGTTTGCAAACCAGGAGGACTTGCCCTCCTCTGTGGAAACACATCCTCCAGGCCACTTGTGCTTATTGCATGGAAAAGCACAGAATTCCTTTCCCTTCCCCTTCCCACCATTTCCCTCTCCTTTCTCCATATCCACTTGTTTCCCTAC